AAAAAATATACGTATTTTGGAAATGTTGAGTCGAATTAGTCTAGAATCGATTAATTTTATGAAAGAAAACCTTTCAAACAGCCGTAGTCCGTAAACTATGATTCCTACAAAATTGATTCATAAAGAACGGAACGTATCTACCGTCTTATAGGGGGATCTACTGTATTTGTTTTATATTATATAATAAAATCGTGGTACAGAATTGCGGCTCCCATGCATTTTGCAAAACCTACATTTCGGCTTCCACTGAACTTTTGCCTACCCACCCGTTATAGACATTAAAATTTTCTTTCTTTCCCACAGAAGCTTTTTTTTTAATCAATACTGACTCTTCCAGTCTAGCTTCAATCTCTGCTGTGGAAGTATATATGGACAGTGCTATGGACTGCTTTTTCTTCTAAATATCATACTTATGCTTTAATTCTGTTGAAAAGCAATCTGTTCATGGCTCCTATGTAAACCAAATTATTTTCAACACTTTCATCCCTTAATCTTAGGTCTTGTGCCAAGTGGCATGCTGGGCAACCAGGGGCTGTATTCTGGTCATCGCCTCTCATCTCTGAAAGACAGTGTTTACAACACAAGCTGGTTGCTGATTGGCTAATCATTTATTTATGTCTTGAGAGATCATTGTGTCTCTCCAAACATGATTCTGGACAGCCTTTTCTTTTGAAGATTCTCTCATCTCTCAGAGACAAGAGAATAGTTGTCTTTAGTCTTTTGCCTCGATTCAGTTATATCTAATATGGACTACTGGATGCTACTTGTGCTATACAATTGTATTAGAGAATGTTGTCTATCTCGAAAAATAATATTTCGATAGAGAAATTGCTTCTGATTTTTTCCAGTGCCTATGCGAGAACACCACTAATTCTATTGTTTTTAATTATCCTACATCAATTACTAAACTATTGAGTAAGATGTTAATCTTATCTGTCCCTCTAAGTATTTTTCGAAATATTACTATCTAATTTCTCCTTAAATAAGTATGCACACTTTTCTAACTTAAATTATTAAAATTTTTATTCGTTAAGAGACAATTTAACATTAATCTTGGACTGGCATAACAACAGACAATCTATAAAACGTTATAAAAGATAAACATATCTTCGTCAAAATTATGTGCTTTATTTGAACTGGTGCTTTCCTTACCATGTGATCTATAATTACATACTCTGTATTTTCGAAAATTTTACAATTTCAGTGGTTAAAATTCTATACCGTGTTGCACATGCAGATAACCTGAACATGTATAATCAACCTAGTAGAATCGTGACGTCAACAACAAAGATGAGATCATTAAAAGTGACCAGAATCGCCGCTTTCTCTGAGAGACAAATCTCATCTCTCGTTTTGATGTCATTTGTCTTTGAAAGAAGGGATGAGAGATTAATGATCAGAATACAGCCCCAGCTGTCTCCAGTAAACATGGTCAGCTGCAATAGTTTCAGCATCATACCATGGAATGCTAATCTTCTTTGTATGTAGGTAGTTCATGATCTGCCTTGTTTCCTTTTTTCTATCGCATGACTTCCATTTCAAGGCTACTTTTGGTAAGCATTCCTTCAGCAGATGAAGTACATGCCCTGCAAAATGCATTCTATGCTCTAACAATGTCCCAGAATTTGTGTAGGAAACTTCTGAGAATTTCCTCATTTGCAATATGGTCATGATAAATAATTCTAAATATCCTTCAGAGTTTTGATAGAATGAGTTGAGTTTGAGTAATTTTCTTTGTCTTTCCATTTTTTATAGATTGCAGTTGAAATGACAATGTTGTTTAGAGGCATACCTTAATCACTGTAATGATTGCTCACATGGACCAGACTGAGCAGTCTCTGAAAGGCAGGTGATACTTTACCAAGGCAGTGTTTTATATCAGCTTCAACACCTGTAGTGATAAGATACTACCAAAGTAGCAGAACTCTTCCATTTGATCCATTGTTTGATTCATGATTGTAATTTTTACTTTTACTTGCCTATTTATGGACATTATTTTTGTTTTATCACTGAACTACAATATCACTCTTTCAGCCTCATGTTCAAGGCTTGTGGTCATACTCTGCATCATTGGGTAAATTTCTGATATCAATGAAATATCGTCAGCAAATTCCAGGTCTGTGAGTTGCACCTGTCTTCTCCATGGAATTCCTGCACGCAGGATGGCCACTGCTCACCTCATTATAAAATCACAAATGACCAAGAGAAACAGCAATGGTGAGAGAGTGCAGCCTTGTCTAATACCAGTTTCAATTCTGAAGAAATCAGTGTGTCCATCCTGTCTCTATACAGCAGGTAAACTTCAGATACAAGTTCTTAAAAATATTAATATATCACTGTGGTATGCCATAAGATCTAACAATATTCTACAGAAATTCACAATGAAGACTGTCAAAGGCTTTTAAAGTCAATAATATTAATTATCAGTGGTTTCTGGAACTCCAGACATTGCTCTATGATATTTCTCTCACTTTTCAGCACTCTATATCAAACTTCTATAGCAGGTCTACTATAGAAATATATAGAATCTCCTTAATCTAACACAGGCCACCATATGTTTTCAGCTTTATGTTTTATTACTTTTTCATATATATATATCTACATACATATATACGAAAAAGTAATTAATTATAAAAAAAACAAATTTTTCTTTCTGACTGTTCTATTTCAAATAACAGACACAAAAAATAATCAAATAAAGATTGATTTACTTCTTTTCAATGTCTTTATTAAAATATATAAGAACACTGAGGCCTTATTTTTAGAAGTTTTTGAGGTTATATTTATTATACTTTTTAGATGTTTAATAAATAAATAAATAAATATCTTCTTATCTATGATTTATATATTTATTTAGAGGTACAGTATTCACTCTTCAATTTTATTATCACTTTTATTCATTTATTTTGAAATAAAAAAAATTATGTAAAACTATTTTTTGATTGGTCTCTTCTGGAAAAATCCATCAGTCTGCAATATGTTTTGGACTGATATAATAACAGCTGCAAACTGTCTTGTGTTTTTTGAAATGATAAACAAAGTTGTCTCCCCTATCATTTATGAACATTTTAATATGGATCATCAAATAAAAAAAAACAAAGATTATACTAATACTAACTTAACCTGTGAATAAATAATTACAAAATTGTTGTTTTGCTGGAGATCTAATGCATGATCAAAGAAAACTTCCAAATCAGTGTCATCACACACAGTTCACTAAGGAATTTCAATATTTCTGCATTTTGAAAGCAAAGTTTAGTGAAGTATTTCATTCAAAATTATTATTTCCAATCATCTATAAGAATAAAAAAAAATTGGGGTTGAGCCATCCTAAGATTTTATTTTCTTCTATATCAGCAACATATGATAATTGGATCTTTCCAGTTATCATATGTTGCTGATTTTGTTACTGTTTTTGGATACAATACTGTTTTTGGATACTTATTAAAAAACAATTTAAATATTCACCAATTCTTAAACTATCTGGTCATAAATCTATGACTTGGAAGAATAAGGGCCAATGTCATAGGCCAATACACTTGACATTGGCACTTATTCTTCCAAGCCACAGAAATATGAAAAAAATTTATTTAGTTTGTGTAACAAATAATAAAACCAAAAGTCAAATTCGCGTAAGTCGGGGTATAATTTTGCAATTTGTGTAAAATCCAAGTCGTATGTACGTAAGCTAATAAATGTTCTCGTTAATCTTATCTCGTCTTTTGATTCGTTCACGGTTACAAGAAATCACCACATAGAGTCTCTCAAGTCTCCGTAGATATAACAAACACAGAAATAAATAACACAAAATAAATTGTAGCTATGTGTCGATTCCGCGCGACACGTCCGAACAAGTAAGCTGAGCAATAGTGTGGGGGAGTGAGTAATCAAGACTGTGGGGGGAGTCAGTAATCAAGAGCTGTGTGCCACTCAAACAAAAGACAAATCGATGAGATTTGAAAATCGTGTAACTCTGGGTTCGCGTAAGTCAGGGTAGCGTAAGTCAAGGTATTACTGCATTAATAAATTATATCTTGTTCAATTAGTCTATAGTAAAATTGGTTTCGTCATACATTATTTTGTTTAACTTAACAGTTTCCAAGTACCTATCAATAAAGTGAAGACTTATTGTATTGTATTTAAAATGGTTTGTAAATACTGTAGAACTAATGGTTCAATTAAAGCAAAATATTAACGACAAATGATACTACAGGAAACAAAATACCAAAATTGTTTTTAGGCTTTTCATTGATCAAATATGATATAATCCATTAAATAACACAAGATTAGATATTTTATTTTACACCTAAAAAATATGAAATTAACTAATTAATTTTTCCTCTGTGTTCAATATAAAGAATATCATATAGCATTAAAATATTTTCAACATTATAAAATTATCAAGAATACAGCTACATTAATCGGATCAGATTACTTTAAAACAGAATAGATCAATGAACTATTTGTAAAGAAAAGTCTTCATGTACTATAAAAAAGTGTTAAAACAGGACTTATTACGGTTATTGTTTTGATTAGCATTTCTAATAAGTATAACATACATATCTTAGGGCGCAACTATGCAGACACTAGCGAGTGAGAAATATCAAACCACGCCGGATATGCGAGAGAACCAGAAATTTTCTCACGCCGGCGAGATTTCTCCCTTACCGCTCGTGCTAGTTTTTCTTTGCGAGAACTAAGTCGTTCGCTACTAAATTTGCATCCGCACAGTCGCACCCATAATTATCATAATTCTAAAACTGGTGGAGAATTCCTGCAAAAAAATGTCATTTTTGAAATAATTTTAAATAAATCAAATTCAATAGTAATACAATAAACTAAAAAAAAAAAGGAAAAAATTAATCAATTATACAGACTTATAATTGATTTAAATAAAATTTGGAGCACGTTCTATTTGACTAAATGAATCGTTACGAGGTCATTCGAGTTTGTTTTTATTCGATATTTCTTTAGAAAAGAAACGTTTAATATCAACTTACGGGATCTTCGATATTCTGTTCTTCGCCCGTATCGTCAACGGCACCTTCTGGTAATTCTTCGTTATGTTCACCATTCTCTCTTGTTTCAATTTCTTCGCCTAAAGGATCGCCTTCACCATTTATGTCCGCCATTTTGATAAAATATTCTAAAAGAAATCGAATCTTTAGAAAATTTCGCATAATTTTATCTATAAATATCATTTTAAATTTTCTTACGATTTTAAAAAATGTATTTAAAATTGAATAAAAATATTCAACTTTCGAACCTCTTTGTTCTCTTCCCCAACTTGTGGCCGCCGGAACGAAATGCCGGATTCTCGTTTTACTTAAAATGTCCACGACTGAAAAAATGATATAATTTTCTTTAAATTTTAAAATAATTTGGATTAATTATATTCGTAATTAATTTTATTTGTATAATTATAATTATATTATTATTATCGAAAAATATTTGATTATTTATCCGACGAGAAAATTGGCGATTAATATACGATATTTTTAAACGTTTACGGTTTCATTTGCATTTAGCGACGTACAAATTGATCCTAAAATTTTTCGGATGAATTATTGCAAGTTATTTTTGATTCGTTTCAGTTTATGAAAAGTGCAAAATTAAATTTTATTGAATTCTGTTGTTACATCTTAATCTTTAACTCTTATACTTTTTTTTTTTTTTTAACTTTTTCCACCCTGTAGGCACTAAAAGGGCCTCTTTCAACAATCCCATTATGGGTTCGGCCAGGACCACAACGAGACGGCCCAGGAATTTTTCGGGGAAACTATCCCCCGAAAAATTCCTGGGGGTTTTCGTTTCCTCGGATTTCATTCCGGGTCCCCCAGAACGGTAGGCTGCCACCTTAACCGTTCAGCCATCCGGCCTCTTAACTCTCATTCTTGAAGACCATTGTTCTAATTGCATATATTTGATTTAATATCTAAAGAATATGCTAAGTTTTATAGGCTTATTATCTTTCAGTATATAAAAGTATTGTAGATATTCACAATATTTTATATAACTTTGAGAAGCCATTTTTTGAATAACTTAACGAAAACACCGCAAGACAATACTTTGATTTAAAAGTCGAGTTTTTTTCATTTTTTTTTTCTTTTTTAGCCTTGTAAGTACTAAAAGGGCTTTGTTTTCGGGACCATCAGGAGTTCTGTCAAGTCCACAATGGAACGGGCTGGTAGTGAGAAAAGGTAACCGACGTATCCGATAAATTTCTGCGGTTGCTCACCCGGATTCCCACAATAATAAACTGAGGCCTTAATTAATCGACGGGTCGAAAAGTAATTATCATCATATAGAATGTTGTGGATGTGCACTAAATTGCTAAACCCTATTACAAAGGATATATGTTAACTATACCAAAAACATTTGAATATTATATTTTAATTGCAAAATAAGTTAAATAACAAAATAAATATTTGCGGTCACGTACAATAGCTCAATATAAATAAAAGATTTAAACAACACGCTCAATTTGTTTAACCTTCATTCTAATTGATCTAAATAAATTCTCTGTAATATATTCAAGAAAACGAACATTAGAATCCGATTGCGTGTAGATTGAGAAAATAAATATTGACAATGTAATAGAAGCCGCTTTTGAATTACTAAACAGCATAAAGAATTAAAGATGAGAACACGATGAGAAATCCACACAGATAAAATATTAAGTTACATTGAAGTTAGATGTTAAAAATGTTACCTCGTTAATGGTTTCCTGTTTACGAGTTCATTTTAGAAGACATTTCATGTATCTCTTTAGATCTAATTACTTTTTAAGTTTTATTACTAAGTAAAACTTTCATTCTGATTTTGTAGAGCGAGGTGAGTTTTAAAAATGAAAAGTTAATAGAATAATCTTTCGATTTGTTGATAAAGTATTCTTTTCTTACACGGTAAATATTTATCGAATTAATTATTCGTAAAAAAATGTTATGGCAGATTGTACGGAATTTTATCCTAATAACATTTGCATATTAGGCCAATTAGATCCTTTTCTCTCTGTATGTGAGATTTTCGGATTGAGGCTCGTAGAACCTTGCAAATGTCGAAAGAATAAGATATCTCCCTCTCTTTTATCAACTTACGAAAGAATAGTTGAAATTTTGCTATGGTTCGTTGTAATATTCATTATAATAATTTCTGTAGTCGATATCCCATGCGGTAGAATATTTCTTTTGTTTGGGGAGTATGCTTTCTACTCTAAACTTTTGCCGTTAATTTCTTCTTTGTATGTTGCATTTCAATTCAGTATTGTGAAAAGGAAAAAGTTCAATTTCCATTATTCCACGCTCAAAAATAGGTTTGAACATGAAGAAGAATATATTGAGAAGAAAGTTCAACCATATGTACTGTTTTACTTTTCGTATATAATATTTTACCTCGCATCTTTTGCCATTTTATTACTATTGATTGGTCATTCATATGTTGATACCGGAAAGAAGTACAGAATCAGATCCGTTGCATGTTTGGTCAGTATTCATATTTGGTTTACGATTGTGTTTGTTCATATGTCTTTTGTGTTTGTCATAAGCACGGCCGCTTCATTACTCTTATCGAAAAGATTATCCAAAATGTCTTTAGAATTACAGACCATAAACAAAGCGACAAAATATTACCTCCAAGATCTATTCGAGAAATTTTTAAAACTATGGGAAACTTTTCAAGAATTAAACGAAAAATGGGAGATTCTTTTGCCTCTCATTTACATTCATTTTGTATATCAAACCTGCTTTATTTTATACGGAACCATTTTTGTCAAGATGCCTCTTTTGGTCCGTGTATTTATGGCTCTACTTGCATTACAATTATTAAGTATTAGTTTATTTGTCTGCTGGGGAGTATCAACTTTAACATCAACCGTAAGTAAAAATGAACAAAAATCGTTTCGTTTATTTTTTTTTAAATAAGAATCTATTGGTATTGTTTCAGGTATACGACAATTTCATCTCCGTGGAAAAATATTTCTCTTCTCCTCTGACGATGACATTTAAGTTAAAGGTAAAATATTATACTTCTAAATTTTAGTTTAATTTCCTCGATATTTCAAGTCAAACAAATTGATGATGTTAGGTCGTTTGCTTCATGAAGATATTCGGAGGACTCCCCGTAGGAATATCCATTGGGGGATTTTTCTTCGTAAAAAAGGATTTCTTGATGAGAGTAAGATCCCAGTTATCTAGGCTTATGTATCAAGCCTTTGCTTGATACATAAATTATAAAATATCGTATAGAAATGTTATCAGAACTTAAATAATTATATAAAATTTACAGTAAAATATTTTTATACTCTTTACAGGCAGCCAGTGGTTTTCATTCGGTCTTTTCAACTTTAATCGAATTAACTGGAGTGCTTGACGAGAATAAATGCACTTCGAAACTGTATCCAACTATCCCTAGCAATGACACAATCATTTAGAGCTATTTAGACCTGTTTCATGGACACTACATCAAATACATATATTCGTATGTCACGTAAACACACCAAGTTCTCTTATTCATACAAATGCTGTTTCTATATAAACAGTCCTTTATGTACTTTCTTACTTTCTTAATTCCTCAAAGTTGATAATTTTGACACGTAAACTTCAATCAAATGTCACATGCATAGCATCGTAGAACAATTAGATCTAGATAATATCTAGCCACGAGGCCACACAGAACGCAAAAAAATAAAATGACCTGCAAGTTAATAATGCATTTAGATTATAACCTTTATTCCTTATGTGCAATAGATTTGTAATAGAAATAGCACTTTAATTTCGTTATTAAAATGAAATTTTATACACTAATTAATTATAAAGTTCGAGCGTGCAACGAAAATACTAGCATTGAACGTTGATAATGTAAGAGTGGAGCCGGCACTGCGTAGAAGTCGAATAGATTTTTAAATTCAAGTTATTATGAATATTACAAGCTATTATTCACTTTTCTATTGTTTAGTTCTCTGTTCTGTATATCCCTATAAAGTATTATACTTACAATATATTCTACACGAGCAAAAGTAATTGTTATGCATAAACTCTTTAAAGATGGAAAATAACTATATTATACTTGATAAACAGTACATAAATTTATAAACTGTAACTAATTCAATGATGTAATAAGCAATACATTTAAATACTTGTTTATAATTTTAAAATTCGACCGAGACAATATTATAATTAATCTATTATATTTTATCAAAATAAAACTCCATCAGTTTTTCAAGAGTGTAGAAAAACATCGTAGAATTATTAATTCTAATTAATTGTAGAATTTCGATCACATAAAATAAATATTAAAAATTCGTTAAATTGTGCAATTGTGTAATTTTCTACAAATTAGAAATTAAAATAAATACTGTATAAACAATTTTAAAACTTATTATTCAATATTTACTTAACAATATTAGCCTACATTTATTAAAATAAATATTTTGAAAACAATATTTATATAAGATTTATTCATTATAAATGCGTTTGTGCATTACATAAATATTAGAAAAATAAATATTTAATAGTATATAAAGCATATATTTGGAAAATACTCAAAATCTCAGCATCAACCCAATGAAATTCTGCCGGAAGTGACGCGCCGCTGACGTTTTCAATAAAACACAAACTCTGATTGTGGAACAAACTTCTGATTGACGTTTTCAATAAAACACAAACTCTGTTATTCAGGAATATTAGAAAAAAAGGGCGAATGATGTGGATTTCCACGTTATGCTACATTTATTTTTGAATTTAATTAATGAGAACAACTTAATAAAAAATGAATATTTCGAAAAGATAAAGAGTGATGAAGATTTTTTAATTTCCACGGGCGTTATAAATAATTAAATCAATCCTAAGATTACACTTTAACAACAAAAACAAACAGACGGCCGATGGCCGAGCGGTCAAGGTTGCAGCCTACCGCTCTGAGGGACTCGGGATTGAATCCGAACGGGTCAAAAAAACCTTAGGAATTTTTCAGGGGTTGGTCCGTCCAGATATGTTGGGCCTTGTCCTTCACCACCCAGCCACCCCATTGTGGGCCAAACCAATAATGGACTTGCTGAAAGAGGTTCTCTTAGTTCCCGCATGGCGGAAAGAGTAAAAAAAAAAAAAAACTAAAACGAATTATGTGATTTTTTTTACGTAAATATACTAGTGTATTAAAACAATCTATTAATAATAACCGAATTTTAATTTATTCATCAAAAAATAAATTAAATTCTTGTCAACGCAAAATAGAGCTCTTACGACCGTTATGGTGGCTGCCATCTTGTTTGCTAGCTTATCCGGCACCGAAAACGGCGCTTACAGTTTGCTGGAAGCACGATGGCAGCAACCGGAAGTCGTCT